GTTGTTTTGAAATGAAATGGAAATTGTGCTAGATCATGTTTATGGTTTTTGAACACTTTTCATTTGAAGAGTTGAAAGATTGAGCATGGTTTTTGTATGAACTCTTTGCATTTGAAAAGTTGGAAGAGAAAGATTGAGGAAAAAAAAAATGATTGATCTGGTTTTCCTTTACGTTTATCGTAATTTACAGTGTCATACAGACAACACATATTTCATTTAATGTATGTAGTATAGGTTGGATAGCAAAGTTCTTCAAACAAGTGAAACATTTATCATTCAATTTTTATAGTTTTAGTGTGAATATGGTTATATTAGTAGTTACCAATCTCAGTAGAAAATTTATATCATCATACACGACTCTAAGAGTTGAAAGAGAGAGATAGGGGGGAAAAAATGATTGATCTGGATTTCCTTTATGTGTATTGTAATTTACACTATCATACAGACATATTTCATTTAATGTATGTAGTATAAACAAATGCAACATTTATCTCATCATACATGACCTTACGACACGTGTTTTGATGCTTTGGAATAATGCCAAGGACTTTCAGAAGTTATTTCGATGGTGAAGATAATAGACATTTTGTTAGGATATAATTTAATAATAGTTCGAAGCATACACCAAGGAAGCTTAGTGGCCTGCAGGTCATAACATAACCATTGGTTTGGCATGGTTTCTAAATCCTGTTTTGTTGCACATATTTGGCAGAATTTTCCAGATTTATATCTAATAAAAGAATAATTAGAACTTGTTGAGTTGCCTTAAAAGGTGTCATGTGGACTAACGCAGACCTCCTTTTCATCTGTTTCAGCTACCAGGGTATGTTTGTCTGCACGGGTCAAATGCCTCTCTATATGATTCTTATTGCCAGCTTATGAACACCCTGATGTGAACTCAGCTTATAACAATGTAATCTGATCAGTTGTGTTTCACAAAGTAAGTGTTCTTATCTGATGTTGATTTTTGAAAGCACCGATTCGATTGTTAGTGATTAATCTTAATAACTGATATTCTGCTTTTTTTATTTATACTTTTCTTATCTTCTAGAAATTGGTTAAGTGATTCTTATGTTGGTGTAAACTTGATGCAGACACTCAGAAAATGCAACAATTATTGTTTATTTCGGTGAATAAATTTTGTTCTCTCTCTTGGACTATAAGCAACTCTCCATTTATTGGATTTTGCAATTGCATTTTGGCATGAGTTTTAGCCTTTTACTACAAATGGAAAAAATCATTATGAGTATGCTTAACACTATTACAGACTCCACTAATTTGAGCTTTATGTGGTCATGGTAATTTCAGAACTTTTCCTTTATTGGTAAATTGGATAAAAGAAGGAAATAAGTTAAGTACTTGTGACCATTCAAATTTAAGTATATAGGTTCTTCCTCCCCTGTAATTTAGCTGAGGCCTAAACTAAAATTTCGAAATGCAAACTATCTTTCTAAAATTTATAAACTCAAATAGTGAAATGGTCATTTGGTATAACATTTCTTTGAATTCTAGTGAATTCATGGATTTGTTTAATGCTTAAAAAACAACTGAGTCCTTTCCTCACTCTTCAGAAGGTGTTCTAGTCTTTTGAGCTGAAAATAGAAAAGAAGATTTGATCTTATCCCTTACTTTAAGCTCCAATCTTTGTGCTCAAGTTAGTATCTCAAAATTCTTATAGTTGGCATTTTTAAGCTCCAAGTAGTGTTATATACTTCAATTTTTTAGGGTTGAGAATAAGAAGGCTACTTGAAGGAGACAAACTGTGTCTTGAATTTTTTTTATTTATTGTGTGGCATGCGTTACTGGGTCTCTTTGTCGTTTGGCAAATGAAAGACCTTTCTGCTATATAACCAAATGCACATAGTTTACAAATAATAAATGGTGTTTCAAACCAGATATCATTTTGTAAACTTAATCTATTACATTGAAGTAAGCCTATTATCATCTCCTTAACTTATGTTGTTCGGTCATATAATAAAGGTGTCGATGTGGTACCAAGTTAAGACTGAATGTTAGTTACTATCACTAGCAATGCCAGATGAAAATATGAAAGTATTGTAAAATTTAGATGAATTCTTTTGGTAATATTTTAGCTTTCACAGTAATCTATAACTAGTGCAAAGAACACTATTGATCTTGTGACTCTTTAGTAGTTTAGAGTTAAGACGTTTTGTATTTCTTGAGGTTGCCTGTTTATAATTAAGTTTGGTCAAATGTGGATTCCTTTTCATGTACTAAAGAATTGGATGACATTCATAAAGGAGGCCTATGTAGTTCTTTAATTTTTTTATTTTTTATTTTTAAAATTCCCTGGCATGTCTTGAATTTACTCTTGAGGGCTTGATCATAATAATGGATCTGAGTTTGGTTGAAAGTAAATCTATTGTTGATCAATGTTTAACTTATTATTGAGTGCTAGATTTATGAGTTGCCGTGTTCACTTGTGATGCCAAAACTGATCGGTAGTGATAATTTGATTTATTCCCCTGGATAGGTTTTTATTTGTATAGCTTCTTTAAAGCATGTTGCTTAGATATTCTTTATTAAAATGCTTTGCAGAGGCCAAAACCGAACAACTTGAGTAACCACCTTCCTAACATATGTTTAGTGGTTTTTGAGGCTGTAGCTCCAGTAATCAATTATTATTTTTATTTCTACACATGTTCTCTCTTGCTTTGAATTAGTCCCTCATCCCTTGTATGTTAGTAACTCTTTTCCAAAAACTTTTTCGCCCATGAATGATGGTCTTCAGCAATTGTATGATTAATATTGTTTGGCAAGTTTTTTTTTTTAATGGAATTGGGGGGGAAAGTGAATTCATTTTGTCAACTGAGATTATGGTTCCAGTCCAAGTGCAAAGGTAATCAAAAGTTAAACTGTCATATAGAACAACTGGAAACAATAGAAACTAGGTTAAAACAGTCCAGCAAAACAACATCAACTAAGAACGCAAATTAAAACTAGCAACGAGCTTTCTTCTTGCGTGTTCCAAAGGCTTGAGATGTCCGCAAAGCCACCTTTAGACCCACCAGCTATAAGCTATCAACCATTCCTACCCGCTTACAATCCTAATCTGTCAGTGAGCCCACCCCCGGTGTTCCACCACCTCTGCTTCATTTCTGAATTTGATGAGGCATGAGGCACACTCCGGTTCATTTCTGTGTTTTGAGGCTTGATGATTCACCAAAGCCGATTGTGTGCCATATAATCTGTCACATAGGCTGCAAGAAAATGCTTCCGACCTTTGCGGCCCGGGTGCACAGGCACACATTCTAGGGTTCTCTACATTGTGAACCACAATGAAACCAAAACAATTCTTGCATGACTTGTTGGGCATCTTTTTGACTGCAATATCAAATGGCTACACAACTCAATATATATGACTGGAATCCAAATATTAAATAATCCATTAGAGGAGGACAAATTTAATTGCTGGTTTAATATATTAAATAATCCACCACACTTTTCAAATAAACAAGTGAGTGTAAATACTAAATAGTTTTAGTGCTCCAATAATTGTGCCGGAAGACCGAAAATTGAAAGGAAAAAAAAAATTAATAATAAAAAAATAAGAGACACTAAAATATAATTTCATTACCATATCCCAACCCAATTGCTTCTGAGACCCTTGCAAGTTTAACTTTATGTACTAGGGCTATTTTCTTTGCTCTATATTTTCTTGGTGACCAAACAAAGCAATGGAAAGTGAATCACTCAATTGCATAATAAGTGACTTCATAAATGCTATCAAATACCAGTATCACACAACACACCATGTTGGTATCTAATCAAATTGACCAATCAGGAGCCCATCTTAAGAGAGGATATTCTTGTTAATTTTTTAAAATAGCGCAAGTCTTGAACATAAAAAGATACATGGGTTAATATATATATATTACATAAAAAGATACATGGGTTAATATATATATATATATATATATATATATATATATATATATATATGTATATATGACAAAATGATTGGGAAGAATAATGATCCAATAAAAAAAACTCTTAACTATTAGAATCTAGAAATTAACAAATCAAACAATTTAAAACCAACACAAATCAGGTCCAAAACATACGGAAGTAAAAATACTCCATCTCATCACATGTCATTCAACAATACAAACCACGAACTACAACACAGAGTTGATGCAAAGATGTACCAAATTTACCATAAACCTAAACTAAATAGTTGCAGCAGTTTGAACTAATATTTATTCCCAAAACAAACATGGATGCAAAACAAAATAATTATAGACTGAAAAATATTACCAGCAAGAGTAAGCCCGTTTTTTATTAAAAAAAAAAACCCACAATCAACATAAAACTAAAATTCCAAAAACAAAAAAACAACTTTGCTAAAAGAATATATAGATTACCTCAATATGAAATGATACGATTCAGGTTCAAGACAAATAATCTCGCAAGATCCTAAAAATGCACTGCCAAACAAGGAAGAATATGATTTAGAGAGAAAAAAAAAAAACACATAAGGTGAGGAAGGGTATTGTGTGTGTGTGTGTATATAATGGTCAAAAGGCAAGTATAATGGAGCTTGTGTGTGTGTGTGTGTGTGTATAATGGTAGACAGATAGATAATATATACCTATTATATGTGTGTATAATGAAGTTCTCTGGCCAGCCCCTATTTTGCAGCTGTAGTGTGCTATGCAGAGTAAGAGATAGAGACTGGGAGAAGCGTGCTAGAGAGGGGTTTAGTGCAGGAAAGATACTGTGTGTATACATAATGGTCAAAAGGCGTGCTAGAGAGATGGTAATGAAGCCTCTCTTGTTTAAGAGCCAAAAATGGGTAGCTTTGCCCAATCGGTTTCTTTTCGCCAGAGGTCCCTAAATACTCAATATGACAATGATGTGCCCTTCGAATACCAAGGGGCAATGCCATTTAAAATGTCCACAAGCTTGCTCTTAATATATATGGATGTGCAAATATATATATATATATATATATATAGAGAGAGAGAGAGAGAGAGAGAGAGAGAGACCAGTATTAACCTTTGATGCTGCAGTCAAAGACGTTTACATCAATTGTTAGCTGGCCAGCATCATTTGAGTTCAGATGCTTTTAATAGCTGCTCCTTATGATTCATAATCAACCACATGCATTTGTTTATCTAGTGCTAAAAACACATGTATGGAAAATATGTTTCGTTGGGAGATGGAAAGAGAGGTTTGTACAATTAAGGAAAAATAAAAGATGAGGTTTGTACATGCTGCTAAATCAGATCAGCTCTAATACACATTTTTTTATACAATATACATGTTTATATGCTCAAGCAAGCATGAATTAAAATTCACGAATTAAATGGACTATTATCCTATTATTATTTCAGTAAGATGAAGGACATCTCCCTCTTAATTCACGAATTAAAATCACTCTAATACCAAGGCAAGGAACCACAAATTGGCTATGTAGCAAGTTTTGTTACTTTGGCACACATTAGGCTCCAACAACACAACACGGTGTTCCCTTCGAAAGATTCAAAAATGACCGGTTCAATAGGCTTGAAACTGCTCGGCCTGCAGCTTCTTCACTTCCTGAGCAAAAATTGACTCATCAAATTTTTGCCTAAAATATTGAAACAAATCTAACCAAATTTTCCCACCCCTACCAAGCCAAAAACAAGAAAGAAAGGTATTTAACTTACTTCAGGGAAACCAGATTTATTTTTCCTCTCTCTTTCAATTCTTAAAATGCAAAGAATGCTTACAAAAACCATAAAAATCATGTAGCACAATTTCCATTTCATTTCACAACCACCAAACAAAGAAATAGAAAATCAACTGCAGGAGATCAAATTTTCTCACCTTATCGCCCCACAATAGCTGAGCCCTAACCGAAAACAGTTGAGCTTCAATAGCGGCTTTAGAAAATCCCACGCTAATTCTGAGTTTTTCCAGCAGATAAACTGCTGCCATATAGTTTGAGAATTCTCAGCAATTATGACTGCTTAAGCTGCTACAAAATGTCTACAAAATGGCAAAAAAATATCATGATGTATCAATACAAATATAAAAAATATATAAAACAGTAGCTAGTTGACACGTTACTGGCAGAAACTAAAAACAATGAAGCCCTACTAACAGGATAATTACTGAGATGAATCTAGAAACTTCTTAGTTTGATGTCCACTCAAATGATCAAAAACAACTAACAACAATGAAGCCCTACTAACAGGGTAACATGATGTCTATTCCATTAAATTTCAAAATGATATAAACTCAGTTCCCAACAAGTTCAAAGAAAATTTGAATTAGGGAGCAATTATTCCAAAATATGTAATATAAAGTAATTTAACTGCGTCACATCCTAACATATAGATTAAACCATACGGAATTAAGAAAACACGTGTTATCCTATTCTTCAAGCAACCAGAAAATAGAATATTAAAAACACAAAAAAATAAAATAAATAAAAGCTAACAATGGTTCTGCCATTCATTTTAATAAGTGCATAATTTTCACTTCAACCTTTTTTTTTTTTGGAAATTAAAGCAAAAACACACCCATTATCTGTAATATGTCCCTAGTGGGACTAAAACTCTCAACCTCCCCTTTTGGTTCAGGCTAAGGAATGTGTGTGTGTGTGTGTGTGTGGGTGGGTGGGGGGTGTTTGGGGAAGAGAGAGATTGTACCATTGGGCTGGTGGGTGGGGGGTGTTTGGGGAAGAGAGAGATTGTACCATTGGGCTAGAGGCCCTTTGGTTGTCAAGTGCATAAGTTGCTACTTGCTACCATAGACTCCTCAACAAAAATAAGTGTCATGCAAAGAACACATGAAGCATTAGTAACTAGATCAATAGCAAATAGAAATGGTTTTAACTCTAAACTACTAAAAAGTCACAAGCTCAATAGTGTTCTTAGTGCTAGTTATAGATTACCATGAAAGCTAGAATATAAGCAAAAGAATACATCTAAATAGTACAATACTTTCATATTTTCATCCGGCATTGCTAGTGATAGCAATTATCACTAGCACACTCAGATCCATTATTATCAAGCCCTCAAGAGTAAATTCAAGACATGCTAGGGAATTTAAAAAAATAAAAAACCCAAAGAACTACATAGGTTTCCTTCATGAATGGCATCCAATTCTTTAGTACATGAAAAGGATTCCACATTTGATCATGAAGTGGAATCCACATTTGACCAAACTTAATTATAAACAGGCAACCTCAAGAAACTACCATGTAACTACCAATCAAGCAAGGCTACTTGGCGCAACCCAGCAAGGCTCTTTCATCATACACTGAAGGTAACAAACTGTGACAAGTTTGAGAAATGTCATTGACACACCAAACACTGAAAAAAAGATTGACGAAAAATATACACACTACTAAAAAAGAACAGAAAAAATAAGATAGAGAGAGTTGTCAGGATTCACCATTTTTGCACGACAAGATCTGGTTCTCTCTTGCGATTAGGGTTTAACAACGTCGAAGCGCAAACCCTAAAAACTATGGCAGCCCCAGTCGTGCTCGAGAAAAGTTTGATTATATATTAGGTTGTTAAATGCTTGGAGACACCATCGTCTATTGTTGATATTCTACCAATTGGCACCGTATATATCAAGCCTAGTTACTCATGCGCCAATGTGGTTTTCTAAGGTCTACCCCCAATGAAAATCTAAACCCTAGCCCACAGTGCGTGTGTAGCCCAACCCACAAAAGTATTTGGATAATAAAAAATACGTTAATCACTATAGGCCTCACTGAAATTCGTTTATCACTCAAAGTTTATCACTATAGTGAGGAAAGGACTCAATTGTATTTTAAGCATTAAACAGATCAATGGACTCACTGAAATTCAAAGAAATGTTGTACCATATGACCATTTCACTATTTGAGTTTATAAATTTTTGAGAGATAGTTCGCATATTGAAATTTCAGGTTAGGCCTCTGCTAAATTGCAGGGGAGGAAAAATCTATATGCTTAATTTTACATGGTCAAAAGCACTTAATATTTTTCCTTCTTTTACTCACCATCGGAATAACTTCGAAAATACTAAACCAAATCCGAAAATACACTGCGTTAGTCCACATGACACCTTTTAAGGCAACTCAACAAGTTCTAACTTTTCTTTTATTAGATACAAAATTGGAAAATTCTGCCATGCCAAACCAATGGTTATGTTTTGACCTATACTACTTGTCAGCATGTCGATTGCAGGTCACTAAGCTTCCTTGGTGTATGCTTCTAACTTTTATCAAATTCTATTTACCAGGAGAAAAGGAGGTGAACTCCATGGCATTATTCCAAAGCATCAAAACACATGTGTTGTGAAGTCATGTATGATGACTGATGAGATAAAATTTCTTCTCAGATTGATAACTACTAAGATAACCATATTCACACTAAAGCCATAATATTGAATGATAAACGTTGCCCTTGTTAAAATAACTCTGCTATCCAACCTATACTACATTAAATGAAATATGTAGTGTAAATTACGATAAACATAAAGAAAAACTAGATCAATCAATTTTTTTCCCACAATCTCTCTCTCTCTCTCAACCCTTCAAATGCAAAGAGTTCATACAAAAACCACAAACATCATCTAGCACAATTTCCATTTCATTTCAAAACAACCAAAGAGATAAATACAAAATCAAATTTTCTCACCTTATTGTCCAGGAAATCAATCGGCCCATATCGAAATAACTTCCATAGCTGAGACCCAATCAAACACAATTGAGCTTCAATAGCTGCTTTAGACTCTGATTTGAGCTCCTATAGTTGTTAATGCTTCATAATCGACTACATGAAATGATTAATTTTAGTCCTAACAGCATAGGTATGGCAAATATTTTTTTAAGCGAGAGTTCGGTACATACTGATAAATTAGCACTAATACACATATTTATATATGTATAATATGTTTATATGTAGAGAGAGAAAGAAAGAGTTGACATTGATTTTCGAGTTAAAGGACTGGACTACGTATTTCAATGAAAATTCTGTATTCTTGCTATGAAGTGAGAGAAGAGAGAGGGTAACTGCAAGAGAGAAACAAGAGTACTCTATGAGAGAAGATAAGAGTCAGAGAGGCATTCTCGGAGACAGATGATTGTTCTATCAATTTTTTTGGGCTTGAACAGTTTTGTGTGTAGTGCGAGAGAGAGGAGAGACGGGCGTAGAGCAGGAAAGAAAAGTTCACAGAAGAGTACTTCGGGTAACTGGGGGGAAATTAATAAAATAGTTTCAGCAGCGGTCACAATATCTCTTAGGCAGCAGTTAAGAGAAAAAGGCTGGCATAAAGGGGCTCCTGCAGCGGTTTATTTATTCCGCTGCAATACATCCACCATCATTTCCTTATTAACTTGCAGTAAGGATATATGATGAATTCAGTGCTAAGATTCTTGCCTGCAAAGAGAACAATAGATAAAAGCAAAACTCGTAATTCATTATAAAGTCAGGCTCATAGTACTGACAAAAGAAAATATACATACTTGCAGGAACCACTCAATCTAGCAAACCACACAAGCACATGCACGAAAAAGTTTTGGGAAAATAGTTCGTAGCAGATCCGGGACATACGAGAGAATGAGGGACTAATTCAAAGAAAGACAGAACATTTGTAAGGAAAAAAAAAAAAAAATTGATTACTGAAGCTACAGCTTCAAAAACCACTAAACATGTGTTAAACAAGTCGTTCGGGTTTGGCCTCGGCAGCTTTCACCATTAACAGAATGATATCAGAAGTACTAAGTTATGCACTGAAATTAGATCTAATCATCTAAACCAGTAACCCAAATCTAAAGAATATTTATAAAAATTTGGCAAAGCATTTTAATCTTCACATGCTTTAAAGAACTACTATGACAGATATACAAATAAAAACCTATACAGGGGAATCAATCAAATTATCTGCTGCTGATCAGTTAGCTGGCCAGCATCATTTGAGTTCAGATGCTTTTAATAGCTGCTCCTTATAATTCATAATCAACCACATGCATTTGTTTATCTAGTGCTAAAAACACATGTATGGAAAATATGTTTCAATGGGAGATGGAAAGAGAGGTTTGTACAATTAAGGAAAAATAAAAGAGGTTTGCACATGCTGCTAAATCAGCTCTAATACACATTTTTTTATACAATATACATGTTTATATGCTCAAGTAAGCATGAATTAAAAATCACGAATTAAAAGGACTATTATCCTATTATTATTTCAGTAAGATGAAGGACATCTCCCTCTTAATTCACGAATTAAAATCCACCAAGGCAAGGAAGCGCAAATTGGCTATGTAGCAAGTTTTGTTACTTCGGCACACAGTAGGCTCCAACAACACAACATGGTTCAATAGGCTTGAAACTGCTCGGCCTGCAGCTTCTTCACTTCCCGAGCAAAAATTGACTTATCATAGTCGAATCTTAGCAGTTTGCCTAAAATATTGAAGCAAATCTCACCAAATTTTCCCACCCCTACCAAGCCAAAAACAAGAAAGAAAGGTATTTAGCTTACTTCAGGGAAACCAGATTTATTTTTTCTCTCTCTTTCAATTCTTAAAATGAAAAGAATGCTTACAAAAACCATAAAAATCATGTCGCACAATTTCCATTTCATTTCACAACCACCAAACAAAGAAATAGAAAATCAACTGCGGGAGATCAAATTTTCTCACCTTATCGCCCCACAAAAACTTCAATAGCTGAGCCCTAACTGAAAACAGTTGAGTTTCAATAGCGGCTTTAAAAAATCCCACTCTAATTCTGGTTTTTTCCAGCAGATAAACTGCTGCCATATAGTTTGAGAATTCTCAGCAATTATGACTGCTTAAGCTGCTACAAAATGGCAAAAAAATATCATGATGTATCAATACAACTATAAAAAATGTATAAAACAGTAGCTAGTTGACATGTTACTGGCAAAAACTAAAAACAATGAAGCCCTACTAACAGGATAATTACTGAGACGAATCTAGAAACTTCTTAGTTTGATGTCTACTCAAATGATCAAAACAACTAAAAACAATGAAGCCCTACTAACAGGATAACATGATGTCTATTCCATTAAATTTCAAAATGATATAAACTCGGTTCCCAAGAAGTTCAAAGAAAATTTGAATTAGGGAGCAATTATTCCAAAATATGTATATAAAGTAATTTAACTGCCTCACATCCTAATATATAGATTAAACCACAAGGAAATAGAAAAACATATTTTCATCCGGCATTGCTAGTGATAGCGACTAATATTGAGTCTTAACTTGGTACCACATCAACACCTTTATAATGAGACTGAACATCATAAGTTAAAGAGATGACAATAGGCCACTTAATAAAAAAATCTAGACACAGTTTGTCTCACTTTTCTATTTTCAGCTCAAAAGACTATAACACCTTTGGAATAGTGAGGAAAGGACTCGGTTGTTTTTTAAGCATTAAACAGATCAATGGACTCACTGAAATTCAAAGAAATGTTGTTGTACCAAATGACCATTTCGCTATTTGAGTTTATAAATTTTTGAAAGATAGTTTGCATTTTGAAGTTTCAGTTTAGGCCTCTGCTACATTGTAGGAGAGGAGGAACCTATATACTTAAATTTAAATGGTCACAAGTAACTTTTTTTTTTTTTTTTTTTTTTTTCCATCTTTATTATGTAACCAATTAAGGAAAAGTTCTAAAATTAACATGACCATATAAAGCTCAAAATAGTGGAGTCCATAATTGTGTTAAGTATACTGAGAATGATTTTTGCCATTGGTAGTAATAGGCTAAAATTCATGTCAACATACAATTTCATAATCAAATAAATGGAGACTTGTTATAGTCTAAGAGAGAGAACAAAACTTATTCACACCCAAATAAAAAATAATTATTGCATTTTCTCAGCGCCTGCATCATGTTTACACCAAAATAAGAATCACTAAACTAATTTCTAGAAGATAAGAAAAAGTATAAATAAAAAAGGAACAATATCAGCTATAAGGATTTATCAATCTATATAACAATCTATACTTTCATAAATCAACATCAGATAAGAACACCTAATGAGTACACATCAGTGTGTTTATGAGCTGCATAATTGCGCAGAATTGTCTGCAATAAGAATCATGTTGAAGGATATATATAAAAGTTGCACCCTCTCTAACAGCTTAAGCTTTTGGAGTAAATGGTTGCTGATATTGTATCAGAGCCAAAGGTCTCGAGTTCAAACATCACCGTCACCCTAATTAAAAAAAAAATTTGAAAAACACGAGTTGAACCAAAAAGAAGGCCACATGTGAGGGGGTGTGTTGAAGGATATATATATAAAAGTTGCACCCTCTCTAACAACTTAAGCTTTTGGAGTACATGGTTGCTAACAACTCATATATAGAGGCATTTGACCCCTGCAGACAAACTTACACTGGTAGCAGAAACAGATAAGAAGACGGGCATTACTAAACAAAATCCGAAAAATACTGTGTTATCCACAGGACACCTTTTAAGGCTACTCAAGAAGTTCTAATTTTTCTTTTATTAGATACAAAACTGGAAAACCAATGGTGTATGCTTTTGACCTGCATTACTTATCAGCAGATCATGTCGATTGCAGGGCACTAAGTTTCCTTGGTGTATGCTTCTTTTACCAGGAGAAAAGGAAGTGAACTCCATGTACAAGACTCTATCCTAACAAAATATCTATTATCCTAACCATCGGAATAACTTCTCTTAGCATTATTCCAAAGCACCAAAACACACATGTCGTAAAGTCACGTATGATGAGATAAATTTTCTTCCGAGATTGATAACTCCTAGATGTTGCACTTGTTTACAATAGATACATTAAATGAAATATGTTTGTATGAAAGTGTAAATTACATTTAACATAAAGGAAAACCAGATCAATCATTTTTTCCCCTCAATCTTTCTCTTTCAACTCTTCAAATGCAAAGAGTTCATACAAAAACCAAAAACATCATCTAGCACAATTTCCATTTCATTTCAAAACAACCAGACAGAGAAATAGAAAATCTTGTGCAGGAAATCAAAATTTCTTACCTTTTTGCCCGCAGGAAATCAGCCTGCCCAAATCGAACACATGCATTGATGAGAACTCCAACAGTTGAGCCCCAATCAAACACAGTTGAGCTTCAATAGCTGCTTTGGATTCCGATTTGAGCTCTAATAGCTGCTTATCCTTTATAATCGATTACATGCATAGATTAATTTTAGCCCTTTTTTATAATTAATTAATTTTAGCCCTTAACAGCACAAATATGGCAAATATATTTTTAAGAGGGATGGAAAAAGAGTTCAGTACATGCTGATAAATCAGCTCTAACACACACATATGTAGAGAGAGAAAGAAAGAGTTGACATTGATTTTCCACTTACAGGACTAGGTATTTCAATGAAAATTCTGTATTCTGGCTATGAAGTGAGAGAAGAGAGGGAGCTAGAGAGAGAATGACAACAAAAGAGAAATAAGAATAATCTATGAGAGAAGATAGAGTCAGAGAGACATTCTAAGAGATAGATAGAGACTGGGAGAGACTAGAGAGAAGGGTTTACTGCAGGAAAGATAAGCTTCACGGAAGAGTACTTTGGGTAATTGGAGGAAAGTTAATAAAATAGATTGAGCAGCGGTCACACTATCTCTTAGGCAGCGATTAGAGAAAAAGGCTAGCATAAAGGCATTCCTGTATATTTGCCGAAAGAAAGAGAGAAAAAAAAAAAAAGTCAGGCTCCTGCAGCAGTTTATTTAGATTGCTACTATACATCCACCATCATTTCCTCATTAACTTGCAGTGAGGATATGAGATGAATTCAGTGCTAAGATTCTTGTCTGCAAAGAGAACAATAAATGAAAGCAAAACTCAGAATTCATTGAGAAGTCAGGCTCATAGTAAATTTCTTGTGTTACAGCAATTATCCACATCGCCGGATGAAAATTCTCACTGCAGGAATCACTCAATCTAGCAACCACACATGCACAACACCATCTTTCATGCACGAAAAAGTTTTTGGAAAAGAGTTACTAGCAGATCCAGGACATACAAGGGATGAGGGACTAATTTAAAGAAAGAGAAAACATGTGTAATATATAAATAATAATAATAATTGATTATTGGAGATACAGCCTGAAAAGCCACTAATCATTTGTTAGGAAGGTGGTTACTCAAGTTGTTCTGTTTTGGCCTCTGCAGCTTTCATCATTAACAGAATGATATCAGAAATACCAAGGTCTGCACTGAAAATTAGCTCTAATTATCTAAACCAGATACCAAATCTAAAGCAGCAACCCAACGCATCGGTAACTGAGATACTATATATAAATTTGGCAAAGCATATTAATAAAGAATATCTAAGCAATCTTCACATGCTTTAAAGAACTACTGCGACAGCCATACAAATAAATAAATAACAGGGGAATCAGTTTTGGCATCACAAGTGAACATGACTACTTATTAATCAATCGCTCAATAATATGCTAAACATTGATCAGCAATAGATTTACATTCAACCGAACTCAAACATTGATCAGCAATAGATTTACTTTCAATTACACTCAGATCCATTATTATCAAGCCCTCAAGAGTAAGTTCAAGACATGCCAGGGATTTTAAAAAATAAAAAATAAAAAACCCAAAGAACTACATATGTTTCCTTCATGAATGTCATCCAATTCTTTAGTACATGAAAAGGATTCCACATTTGATCATCAAAAGGATTCCAAATTTGACCAAACTTAATTATAAACAGGCAACCTCAAAAAACTACCATGTAACTACCAATCAAGCAAGGCTACTTGGCGACAACCCAGCAAGGCACTTTCATCATACACTGAAGGTAACAAATTGTGACAAGTTTGAGAAATGTCATCGACACACCAAACACTAGAAACAAAGATTGACGAAAAATATACACAGAACAGAAAAAATAAGATAGAGAGAGTTGTCAGGATTCACCATTTTTGCACGACAAGATCTGGTTCTCTCTTGCAATTAGGGTTTAAGAATGTCGAAGCGCAAACCCTAAAAACTATGGCAGCCCCAGTCGTGCTCGAGAAAAGTGTGATTATACATTAGGTTGTTAAATGCTTGGAGACACCATCGTCTATTGTTGATATTCTACCAAACGGCACCATATATATCAAGCCTAGTTACTCATGCGCCAATGTGCTTTTCTAATGTCTACCCCCAAGGAAAATGTAACCCTAGCCCACCGTGCGTGTGTAGCCCAACCCACGAAAGTAATTTGGATAATAAAAAATGCGTTTATCACTATAGGCCTCACTGAAATTCGTTTATCACTATACATTTATCACTCTAGTGAGGAAAGGACTCAATTGTTTTTTAAGCATTAAACAGATCAATGGACTCACTGAAATTACAAGAAATGTCGTAACCACATGACCAGTTCACCATTTGATTTTATAAATTTTTGAGAGAGAGTTCGCATTTTGAAATTTCAGTTTAGGCCTCTGCTAAATTGCAGGGGAGGAAAAATCTATACACTTAAATTTAAATGGTCACAAGCACTTAATATTTTTCCTTCTTTTACTCACCATCAGAATAACTTCGAAAATACTAAACCAAATCGGAAAATACGCTGCGTTAGTCCACAGGACACCTTTTAAGGCTACTCAACAAGTTCTAACTTTTCTTTTATTAGATACTGTTAGAAGATGCTATATTTGGAATATATTATTATAGGAATCCTTCAATTACTCCTTGACAGAATATTTGATATGAGAATATCACAGGAGAGATTTTAGCCTATAATAGAATATTGATTGGAGTGATTTATGGTATTGATTTTAGAAATCTTCCATTAATGTATTTTCCATATTTATCACCTCTATTCATTCACCTATAAATAGAGGTGATCATTGTATACAAAGATTAAGAGAGAATATATTATAAAGTGATGTAGCCCTTTGGGCTCTTTGTGCCGTGGATGTAGGCCCTAGTGACTAAACCACGTAATATCCTTGTGTTCTTAGTGTTTCATTTTTCTCTTCGCTTCCGTTTTGTGCTTTACAACAGATACAAAACTGGAAAATTACGCCATGCCAAACCAATGCTTATGTTATGACATGTATTACTTGTCAGCATGTCGATTGCAAGTCACTAAGCTTCCTTGGTGTATGCTTCTAACTTTTATCAAATTCTATTTACCAGGAGAAAAGGAGGTGAACTCCATGGCATTATTCCAAAGCATCAAAACACAAGTGTTGTAAAGTCATGTATGATGACTGATGAGATAAATTTTCTTCCCAGATTGATAACTACTAAGATAACCATATTCACACTAAAGCTATTAAATTGAATTTTAAATGTTGCCCTTGTTTAAATAACTCTGCTATCCAACCTATACTACATTAAATGAAATATGTAGTGTAAATTACAATAAACATAAAGGAAAAATCAATTTTTTTTTTCCCACAATCTCTCTCTCTCAACCCTTCAAATGCAAAGAATTCATACAAAAACCATAAACATCATCTAGCACAATTTCAATTTCATTTCAAAACAACCAAACAGATAAATAAAAAATCAAATTTTCTCACCTTATTATCCGCAGGAAATCAGTCAGCCCAAATCGAAAGAACTTCCACAGCTAAGCCCTAATCAAACTTAGTTGAGCTTCAATAGCTGCTTTAGACTCCAATTTGAGCTCCTATGGGTGCTTATGCTTCATAATCAACTACATGCAATGATTAATTTTAGTCCTAACAGCATAGGTATGTCAAATATTTTTTTAAGCGAGAGTTCGGCACATGCTGATAAATTAGCTCTAATACACATATATTTATATATGTATAATATGTTTATATGTAGAGAGAGAAAGAAAAAGTTGAGATTGATTTTCCAGTTGAGGACTGGACTACGTATTTCAATGAAAATTCTGTACTCTTGCTATGAAGTGAGAGAAGAGAGAGAGCTAGAGAGAGGGTGACTGCAAGAGATAAACAAGAGTAATCTTTGAGAGAAGATAGAGTAAGAGAGGAATTCTCAGAGATAGATGATTGTTCTCTAAATTTTTTTGGGCTTGAACAGTTTTGTGTGTAGTGCGAGAGAGAGGAGAGACGGGTGTAGAGCAGGAAAGATAAGTTTCACGAAAGAGTACTTTGGGTAACTGGGGGGAAATTAATAAAATAGTTTGAGCAGCGGTCACAATATCTCTTAGGCAGCAGTTAAGAGAAAAAGGCTGGCATAAAGGGGCTCCTGCAGCAGTTTATTTATACCGCTGTTATACATCCACCATCATTTCCTCATTAACTTGCAGTAAGGATATATGATGAATTCAGTGCTAAGATTCTTGCCTGCAAAGAGAATAATAGATAAAAGCAAAACTCAGAATTCATTATAAAGTCAGGCTCATAGTACTGACAAAAGAAAATATACATACTTGCAGGAACCATTCAATCTAGCAAACCACAAATGCACATGCACGAAAAAGTTTTTGGAAAAGAGTACGTAGCAGATCCGGGACATACAAGAGAATGAGGGACTAATTCAAAGAAAGAGAAAACATTTGAAAAAAAAAAAAAATTTGATTACTGAAGCTACAGCTTCAAAAACCACTAAACATGTGTTAAACAAGTCGTTCGGTTTTGGCCTCGGCAGCTTTCACCATTAATAGAATGATATCAGAAGTACCAAGTTGTGCACTGAAATTCGATCTAATCATCTAAACCAGCAACCCAAATCTAAAGAATATATATATAAATTTGGCAAAGCATTTTAATCTTCACATGCTTTAAAGAACTACTGTGACAGATATACAAATAAAAACCTATACAGGGGAATCAATCAAATTATCTGCTGCTGATCAGTTTTGGCATCATAAGTGAAGACGACTACTCGTTAACCAAGTAGCTCAATAATAAGCTATTCATTCATCAACAATAGATTTACATTCAACCAAACTCAGATCCATTATTATGATCGAGCCCTCAAGAGTAAATCAAGACATGTCAGGGAATTTAAAAAATAAAAAATTCAAACAACTACATAGGCTTCCTTCATGAATGTCATCCAATTCTTTAGTACATGAAAAGGAATCCACATTTGACTATACTTAATTATACTCTGGCAACCTCAAGAAATTGCCATACCACGTAACTAGCAAGCAAGGCTACTTGGCTGCAACCAAGGCTACTTGGCTGCAACCAAGCAGATCAAATATAAGAAAAATGTAGTCTAAAGAAAAGAAAAGAAGAGAAATATATATATATATATATATATATATATATATATATATACATATATATTCTAGCTCAGGAAATATTTATAATACAAAAAAGAAATGAGAAACAACCACAATAATATTTAATTAAAGGTCTTGCAAGCTTGATCTCACATTTTGAAAAAACAAGAGATAAAAATAGATTACTTTATCACAAAATGATAAGCAAAAAAAAAACTAAATTAAAATAGATTTGACTAAAAGACAATCCAAAAACAAATTAAGTCTATACTCATTTTCCTAAAACAGTTGGCACAATCCGAATTGAGGGTGGCATATGGTTATGTGAAGGATCAAGGATGTAATGGGTCCCAATGCTTCCATTCTCTATGTTGAAGATACCAATGTCGCGGCACCCAGATGCGGGATAGTATACAATGATATTATAATCTTCTGTGTAGAATATTGAATTTGCCTGACATCCGGGCCATTTGGAAGTTGAAACACAAATGGAATGGTTATCTCCCCAAAACAGGGTGGTGTCTCCGCCCAAGTTATTCACTTCAACCCGCATAGGCCAACCTTGCTCAAATTGCTCTAAGAGCAACTTGAAAACCTAAAATCTCTTTTTATCTAATGTAAGTCCAAGCTTCATCTCCTGCTCAAATAAATGCCAGGTTAGAACGACAACCACAGATGGCGGTAACAATATAGTTATTAGGATACGAAGCAGGGTCAACTAGCGATATAGTGTTTGCAACTTCAAGCTCAACCTCAGGAGGAACTGCGTCAATCTCGTATAAGATCTCACCATCACTATCACCGCCATTTTCATGAGGAGGTTCAAATTCTAAGCAGTCTATTATTGGAGGAAGCTCAATGGTGGCGCCAATAAAAATGATTCATTAGAGTTACGCCCAAGGATTCTTCCACAGTAAACAGCCAACCATGTAAGGAACCAGAAAGCCTCTTTCTGTAAGGCACCCGTAAATGAAAATCATATAGCTCATTATGAGTGATGCTATATAGACTACGTCTTTTGTCGGTATCATCTTTCCAAGGCACCATCAAGAATGGAACTAGTCTAAAAAACTTATTTTGAATGAATTTAAGTTTGTTGTCAATTGCCACACACTGCTATGGTTTGCAAACCACACCAAATCGAACATATTCAGAAACGAAACCAACTTGTCCAGAATCATATCCGATAAGTTCTTTGGCAGGGATGCCCAATCTGACTCCTCCATTGAACTCATCATGTTTATCTGGCTAATAGCACTGCAATGTCAATCAAAGAATCTATATAATCACAATACATTATATCTGCAATACTCAATTCGAATGGGTTTACAATTTTAAACTAATTGATTCACAAAAAACTTGCTGCATATAGTATGAATTAGTCATTGGTGCAATACCTCTTTCATCATACACTGAAGATAACAAATTTGCTACTAACAAATTCAAAAAAACTATTCTAATAAAATTCATTTTCAACATTAAAATCTAATTGAGCCACTACCAAATCCAAATCCCATAAAAACTATATATATTGTGAATATGAACAACCAAAAAAAATTACATCAAGGCAGCAATATTATTTAATCTTTATATGAACATATATATTTACTAATCAGGAATTATATGAATTATATATATATATATATATATATATATATATATAGTATGTATATATAAGTTCTGGAATATATATACACACACACAAGTAGATCACACCAATCACTTGAAAAGGAGATATATTAGGGTTATACATCATATGAATATGAATACATGACCGAATAATAGTAAATTCAGCTAACAAAGTAGGTAAAAGTAGAATAAGAATACACACAAAGGTTGGAGCTTAAAATAAAGGAAAAGATCAACTCTTCTTTTCTATTTTCAACTCAAAAAACTAGAACACCTTCTGAATCGTGAAGAAAGGACTCAGTTGTTTTTTAAGCATTAAACAGATCAAAGGACTCACTGAAATGCAAAGAAATGTTGTTGTACTAAATCACCCCTTCACTGTTTGAGTTCGTAAATTTTTGAAAGATAGTTTGCATTTTGAAATTTCAGTTTAGGCCTCTGCTAAGTTGCAGGGGAGGAGGAACCTATACGGTTAAATTTTAAATGGTCACAAGTACTTTATTTTTTTCCTTCTTTTATCTAATTTACCAAAAAGTTATGAAATTAACATGACAACATAAAGCTCAAATTAGTGGATTCGGTAACTGTATTTAGCATACTGCTAATGATTATTGCCATTGGTAATTAAAGGCTAAAACTCATGCCAACATGCAATTACAGAATCCAATAAATGGAGACTTGCTTATAGTGTAACAGAGAGATCAAAACTTACTCACCCAAATATACAATAATTGTTGCATCAAGTTTACACCAAAATAAGAATCACTTAACCAACTTCATTTAAGATTTATCACTAACAATCTATGCTTTCAAAAATCAACATCAGGTAAGAACACCTACTTTGTGAAACACAGCTGATCAGATTACTTTGTTATAAACTGACTTCACATCAGTGTGTTTATGATCTGCATAATTGTGCAGAATTGTCTGCAATAAGAATCACATACAGAGGCATTTGACCAGTGCAGACAAACTTACCTTGGTAACTAAAACAGACAAAAAGGAAGGGCATTACTAGACCAAATCCGAAAATAGACTACGTTAGTCCACAGGACACCTTTTGAGGTTACTCAACATGTTCTAATTTTTCTTCCATTAGATACAAAACCAGAAAATTCTGCCAAATATGTGCAACAAAACAGGATTTAGAATTAGAAACCATGCCAAACCAATGGCTATGTTATGACCTGCATTACTTGTCAGCAGATCATGTCGATTGCAGGGCACTAAGCTTCCTTGGTGTATGCTTCTAACTTTTATCAAATTCTATTTACCTGGTGAAAAGGAGGTGAACTCCATGTACAAGATTCCATCCTAACAAAATTTCTATTATCCTCACCATCGGAATAACTTTTGAAAGTCCTTGGCATTATTCCAAAACATCAAAACACGTGTCGTAAAGTCATGGATGATGAGATAAATTTTCTTCTGAGATTGATAACTCCTAAATGTTGCACTTGTTTATGCTACATACATTAAATGAAATATGTCTGTATGACAGTATAAATTACAATAAACATAAAGGAAAACCAGATCAATCATTTTTTTTCCTCAATCTTTTTCTTTCAGCTCTTAAAATGCAAAGAGTTCATACAAAAACTATAAACATCATCAAGCACAATTTTCATTTCATTTCAAAACAACCAGACAGAGAAATAGAAAATCATGTCCAGGAACTCAAATTTTCTTACCTTATTGCCTGCAGGATATCAGTCTGCACAAATTGAACACATCCATTGATGAAAACTTCAATAGTTGAACCCCAATCAAACATAGTTGAGCTTCAACAGCTGCTTTAGATTCCAATCCAAGCTCCCATAGCTACTTATGCTTCATAATCGACTACATGCATTGATTAATTTTAGCCCTTAAAAGCACAGGTATGGCAAATATATTTTAAAGAGAAAGAGATAGAGAGAGAAACAGAGTTCGGTACATGTTGACAATTGATCTCTAATACACATATTTATATATGTATAATATGTTTATATGTAGAGAGAGAAATGAAGAGTTGATATTGATTTTCCAGTTACAGGACTATGTATTTCAATGAAAATTATATTCTTGCTATGAAGTGAGAGAAGAGAGAGAATGGCTGCTAGAAAGAAATAAGAGTAATCTATGAGAGAAGACAGAGTCAGACAGACATTCTAAGAGATAGATGATTATTCTTTTTGGGCTTGAATAGCTTTGTGTGTAGTGAGAGAGAGACGGGAGAGAGACGGGTGTAGTGCAGGAAAGATAAGTTTCACGGAAGAGTACTTGGGGTAAGTGGGGGAAAACTAATAAAATAGTTTGAGTGTCGGTCAGCGGCGGCTAGAGAAAAAGGCAGGAATAAAGAGGCTCCTGCAGCGGTTTAGTTAGACCGCTGCCGATTAGTCCCACTCTGTGCTTCCAGCTTTCCTAAGTGAGTTAGTCAATAGTGAGTTAGTCGGTTAAGGGGTCTCTCGAGCCGGAAGTTCCGTTCACACTCCTATAAACATCTGCCATCATTTCCTTATTAACTTGCAGTGAGGATATATGATGAATTCAGTGCTACGATTCTTGCCTGCAAAGAGAACAATAAATGAAAGCAAAACTCAGACTTCGTTGAACAAGTCAGGCTTATAGTAAATCTGTTGCGTTACAGCAATTATCCAGGATGAAAATTCTCACTGCAGGAATCACTCAATCTGGCAACCATCTTTCATGCACAAAAAAGTTTTTGGAAAAGAGTTACTAGCAGATCCAGGACATACAAGAGATGAGGAACTAATTTAAAGAAAGAGAAAACATGTGTAAGAAAAAAAAATTATGATTACCGGAGTTGCAGCCTAAAAAACCACTAAACATGTGTTAGGAAGGTGGAAAGTCAAGTTGTTCGGTTTTGGTCTACACTGAAATTAAATCTAATCATCTAAACCAGCAACCCAATGCATCGGTAACAGATATTATACAAAATTTGGCAAAGCATTTTAGTAAAGAATATATAAGCAATCTTCACATGTTTTGAGGAACTACTGTAACAGCCATACATATAAAAACATATCCAGGGGAATCAGTTTTGGCATCACAAGTGAACACAACTACTCATTAATCGAGCGCTCAATAAAATGCTAAACATTGATCACCAATAGATTTACTTTCAACCAAACTCAGATTTATAATTATGATCGAGCCCTCGAGAGTAAATTCAAGATATGCCACGGAATTAAAAAATCAAAGAACTACATCCGCTTCCTTCATAAAATGTCAATCAATTCTTTAGTAAATGAAAAGGAATCCACATTGCAACATGATAAGGAACCCACATTTGACCAAACTTAATTATAAACTGGCAACCTCAAGAAATTGCCATACCATGTACCTAGCAATCAAGCAACGCTACTTGGCGCAACCCAGCAAAATCAAATATAAAAAATGTGGTCTTAATTCTTGGCCGAAGGACTACTGACAGCACAATAGATGAGAGCTGGATTGCATTACAAGGACACTTTAACCATCAAGAATTATGATTCCATGTAATTTCCAACCCTCATTTTAAGGAATTTGATTCATGATGCTAATAGAGAAAAAAGACTGTAACTTTCTTCTACGGAAAAAGACAATAAATTTCTTAAAAGGAAAAAGACAGTAACTTTCTTATAAGAAAAAATGAATTGCAGCTCAAAAATATTTATAATACCATAAAAATTGAGAGAAACGCACAATAATATTTAATTATATGTCTTACAAACTTTATCTCACATTTGCCACAGCAAGAGATAAAAATAGATTTTTTTTCACCACATTAAAATGATAAGCAAAAAAGATTAAACAAATTAGATTGACCAAAAGTCATGTGAAACAAATTAAGTCTATACTGAATTTCCCAACACAGTTGGGACAATCCAAATTGAGGGCGGCATATGGCTATGTGAACAATCAAGGATGTAATGCGTCCCAAAGCTTCCATTCACTATGTTGAAGATACCCATGCCGCGGTGCCCAGATGGGGGATAGAATAAAACGTCAATAGGATCATCAATATAGTATATGGAATTCGGTTGGCATCCGGGCCATTTGGAAACTGAAACACAAATGGAATGGTTATCTCCCAAAAACAGGGTTTCTCCACCCGAATTCTTCACTTCAACCAGCATATGCGACCCCTCCTCAAATTGGTCTAAGAGCAACTTGAAATTCTTAACCCTGAAGTTACATGCTGTGAATCGTCTCCAAGTTTTAAAAACCTTTGTACAAGAAGGATTTACCGGTAGATGATTCAACAAGATACTTCTGTTCAGAATATGGAATAGTCTGCATTGCAATCCCCTCCACTTGCGGAGCCTTACTCTCCCCAGCCCTTCTATTAGCATCAATCATTAGGATTTTATTTCTAATATCAACTGCAAAAATCCGGCATTTATAATATACGACATCAAAGATGGGCTTAAATCTCTCTTTATCTTTGTAAGTCCAAGCTTCATCTCCTGACCAAATAAATGCCAGGTTACAACAATCACCATAGATGGTGGTAACAATATAGTCATTGGGAGACGAAGCAAAGTTTGACAATATAGCCTTTACAACTTCAAACTCAGCCTCAACACCATCGTTGCCATTCTGATGATTTCTGAGAGGTCCATAATTGGAGGAAGCTCAATGGTAGCGCCAGAGAACGGATTCATTAGAGTTACGCCCAAGGATTCTTCCACCGTAAACAGCCAACCATGTGAGGAACCAAAAAACCTCTTTTTGTAAGGTACCTGTAACTAAAAATCATATAGCTTATTATGAGTGATGCTGCACAGACTACTCCTACTATTATCTTTTGAAGGCACCATCAAGAATGAAACTTGTGTGGAACATTTATTTTGAACAAATTTAACTTTGTTATCCATTGCCACAGACTGCCATGATTTGCAAACCGCACCAAATCAAACATATTCAAAAAACAAAACCAAATCGTCCAGAATCATAAAGCGATGCCCAATCTGACTCCTCGATTGTCATATCCAGTAAGTTCTTTGGCAGGGATTGTGAGGTCTTATACAAGATTGGTGCGATATTGGTGCAATACCTCTTTCATCATACACTGAAGATAACTGCTACTAACATATTTGAAAAAACTATTCTAATAAAATTAATTTTCAATATTAAAATCTAATTGAGCCACTACCAAATCCAATTCCCATGAAAAAAAACTATATATATTGTGAATATGAACAATCAAAACAAGTTAGGCTGCAATAATCTTAATCTTTATATGAATATATAAAGTATGCATATATAACTTCCGGAATATTAATACATAATAGTAAATTCAGCTAAGAAAGTAGGTAAAAGCAGAATAAGAATATAGGGTTTATTTGTCTATGGAAAACCAACCTATTCCTCTGTTGTACTTGCCGAGTACAGAAATCACTCCGAAGATTCATTAGGATATCTTGCAGCTCCACGTCGGCACCTCCCCTTTGCTAACGCCGATGGCTTTCCCGCAGTCACCGTCTCACAGTCGCCGTGCTGCAACAATCCCCACCCAACAGATGGAAGAAGCGTCTGGAACAAGCGACAATGAGCACGGCATCGGAGATGGAGACACGCGCTGTCTGCAAGTGAGGCGACAGCAAGTTCACAGCGGTGATGAGGTCGGGACGGCGATATTGAGAGAGAATGTGGCTGAGGACGCGGCGGTGGTGAAATTGAGAGAGAAGGCGGGTGGACTGGCGGCATCGCGCAGAGAGAGAGGAGGGGGAAACGAAAGTGGGTTAGGGTTTTTTTTACAAAATTACATTAACGAGGACGACGACTTCCTCTAGCATCAGTGGCGAAGTGGCAATGAGAACACCAATCACCTCTAGCACCAGTAGCGATGAGGACCACGACCGCCTTGTTCTCAAATCCATCCCTCTCCGCAATGACGATGACATCCTCAACGACTCTGTATCATCTTCCCTTACTCATTCTTCACTGTCTCGCTCGTACCTTCCACGCCCACGCTTCCCATCAGATCGCGTAAGAGGTTTTTGTCTTAGGCTATGTTTGGTGTGGGTTCGAAGGGAAGGATAACAGTTAGGATAATTTTAACCCTAGTATTTGATTGATTAACGAATAAAAAGAGAAGAAAGGATCATGTTTGGAAAAAGAAAGAAAAAGAAAGAGAAGAAAATTATGTTAATAAAATTATTATTATACCTTCTAATATTTTAAAAGATAAATTTATAAATGTAGTTATAAGGGTGATCACATATTCAATCGGTTCGGTTTGAGGTAAAGTTCAATCATAAACGATCCTTACGAATTGGAGAGATTTGAAATCGAACCGATCCGGATCTTCAATTCGAACCAAACCAATCCGTGAAATAACGAATCAGTTTGGGTGAATTGGGCTTTTCAAATAGCCCAATATAATTATACTTTATGGCCCATTAAAATCTCAAATTAGTATTAAAAACTAGTACTTAAAATTAGAAAAATAAAATAAATTTGTAAATCATATACCGGGTAACATGCTAACACTGATAGCAATAAAATTTGTAAATCATATACCAAATAAGAACAATAGATTTGTAAATTATATACTTAATAACTGGCAATATAAATTATCCAAATAAAATAATGAATAAAAAAAATAGAAATATAGTAAGTATATTCAATATTGTATATATATATATATATATATATATAATGTTAATATATTATTTAGACAACTGTTCGGATCGGTTCGAATTAGTTTTTTCAGGGCTTAATCCGTTAACCGAACTGTGAATAGTGGATTGCTATTTTTCTAAACCATCACCGAACCATGAGATCTGAAACTAAACCATACCACACGGATCAGATTGGTTCGAACCGGATTAACATATTGACGGATTATTTGTTCACCCCTACCTGTGGCCCAAGGCTGATGGGCCACCAGAAAAGAAAGAAAATATTTTTAGGGCAAATCATTTCAGCCTCACCAATCGCCTCCATCTCTATTCTCGTTGTCGACTTTGAACTTGCCATCTCTCTCTCTATCTCACTCTCTCTGCAACTGCAAACTACAAGAATCAGAAGTTCAAAACCCATATATTTCAGTTTATATATCTGTCTGCATGAATCAAAAGTTCAGAACCCATATCGGCATATCATTTCAGATTGTTCAAAAAATCAAAACCCATATCTTTCAGTTTCCATCGCCCGCTGTTCGTCGTCGTTCGCAAGCTTCAGCCGCTGGCCCTCTGTCCATCAACTCTCAAGCTTGCCCCCCCCCCCCCCCCCTCTCTCTCTCTCTGCAACTGCTAAGTTGTACGTATAGGTTTTGTTTTATTTTAATTTTTTCTAAATCAACTAATCAAGGTCCGTAATTCTTGTTTTGCAAACTAAATTCACATGTAATCAAGGGCAGATTTGGCATCAGAAATCACACACCAAACCTCTCATTCCTTTTCCTTCTATTTCCTCCCATTTTTTGGAGGATTACAAAACTTACTGTTAAGCCTATTTCTATCCCTCCAAAACCCTCCATTCCCTTCCCTTTCCCTTCCTTCCAACTTTTAGCCACAAACATGTTTTTTTATCACCCTCCATAACCTTTCTTTTCTTTTCCTCCCATTTCCACTCTACCAAACTGAGCCTTAGGGTTTGGTTTGTGACGGTTGTGTGGCTTGTAAAGAAACGGTGAAGGGAGTCTCGATTTTTAAGGTTTTAGTTTGGGATTTTTTTTTTTTTTTCATTTTTGATTTTATACATTTATTAGTATAAGGGTAGCTTTATCATTTTAAAAATATAGTGCTAACATGTGTTCATCACGTGCCTAATTCGTGGCAACTTTACCCGTGAATAATAATTGGCCAGAGAAATCAAGCGTAACTTCATCAGTGGGTAATTTTTGCAATTTTAAAAATATAGTACTGGTATGTGTTCATCACGTGTCTAATTGGCTAGATAAATTAAACGGAACTTTATCGGTGGGTAATTTTTGCAAAAAAAAATAGATAGTTCAAAAAGTTAACAGTAAAAATAGTTTAGGAAATTTTTTTTAAGAAGAGAGTAAAATTTAGGAATATTTGCACTCTATCCTAATGACATTGATCAACTCTCTAAACCCACTCCAGTGGAGATAGTAATTTTTGACAATCAATCAATTATGAAATCTATTTTGGTCCTTGCAAATTTAGTAGTGGTGGTAGCCCCCTCCTATGGTAGATGCTCATGAACACACCCAAATGGGTTTTTACAAAAAAGAGAGAGAAATTCTGTTTTTGGGTATTATTTGTGTGCGTGTATATATATAATATATGTGATTTGTTGTTGAGAGATGAGAGGAGAGGAGATGAGAGAGGTATGGTGGTGTGGTAAGCGCTGAATATTTCATATTCAAGTGCCCTTAATTGCATATTTTAGTCTATTTACTTTATCAATAAAATGTATATTATTGGCTTTTGTGTGTTTTATCTATTTTCAAGGCTTATCTCCAAAAAGGAATAAAAACAAAGTTTTAAGAGACCTCAATGAACATGGTTCATGGCGAGTTGAAGAATCAACTAAAGTGATCCTAAGTCCATAAGCAAGCTCAGCTTAAGGAAGTCGATCCAATAAGCTGGGCAAGAAAGATGAAGTGCATTCCAGAAGAACAAGGCTGGCGTCTGGACGTAGCCTCCAAAAGCATTCTTGGTGTCCAGACGCCCTGTGTAAACGTGGCTCATCAATTGCAATTTCAAAAGAAGAAATTCCAGTAGCCAAAGAAATTTGCGTCCAAATGCCCACATCTGTATTTGAACGTCCCATGCCACAAGGCTGCAGCATAGGCACCCCAACGCGCGCAAGGCACATAGTATGACAAGTTGCGTCCGAACGTCAACCTGCGAATAAATATGTTGATTCAAATTTTCAGTTATTTATCTCTCTCCTCCACTTGAATGCACGAATTTTGTGGGAATTTTGAACTAAAGTCTGACTAGGGGGAGCTATATACATATCTTTATATTGTATCTTTGATATTATTCATTGAATCATTCAAATTTGTATAATTCTAGAGAGAGAAACTGAGGAAATAGATAGGGTTATTAAGTGTTCTTGAGAGGGGCTGTTATGGGGTTGAAGATGGAGACTTTCTCTTCATTCCTTGGGGCTTTCCACCACTAGAATGAGCTTAATCCCCTAGAAGGGGGATTGAGGTAGCCTTTACCAAATAATCATGTAGTTTTTGTATTTCAATTTGGGAAATGATATTATATGTAATTGATTTCATGAATAAGATGATGGTCTACATTTAATTAGTGTTTTTACATAGAAATGGTGTATGATCTTAATTGAATTCCTATATATGAGTACGTTTATATTCAATTCTTGTCTTAAAACCATATTTACACAATCATACTCTTGATATTCTCATAGTTACAATGAGGATTGAATTCATGAAATGGATTTATTGCCATGTTATGTAGGAATTTGGATAAATTATGCTAAGGGAAGATGGACCATGTTACACCTTTAGGTTAATTTAGTTAGGTAGATGGTTCATGCCTACTAAAGATAGTTTATACTAGATGTTTTACTTTCATGTGCTAAAAATTATAATTTCAGAACCTTGATAAGTCATGCCCAAGAAAGATGGCTCATACCACAATCTAGTTTAGGTGAATGAGTCATGCCAACTAAAGATGGGTTATGCTTAGTTTTGAATTGTATGAATTTTCTGGAAATTGTTGTAGTTGTTGTATGCATCTACACATTATAGTTATATATAATTGTTTTCTCCAAGTTGATTACATAGTAGCATGATTATGATGTTTCGATGAACTCGATTGCCTAGTCTCTTCTCTTTATTAATTCAAACATTTGAATTCGTTTTAAATTCTATTTTAAGTTCATTATATGCTAAGCAACAAACAAACCAATCTTCAATCCAAATTGTGACACTTGACAAATCTAAATTAAACTTTAAATTTTGATTGCCATAAGTTAGCAATCTTCGTGGATCGATACCCTTGCTTTGCCATTTTCTACTTGAATTTTGTGCTATAGTTAATGGTTTATTATTGATACGCTTGTGGCATACATCATGGTGGCGGTAGTGGGTGGAAATGGCGGTGACTAGAGAAGGTGATAGTGGGAGTAGATGGAGAGGATAGAGGCAGGTGGTTATAAGCAAACCCAAAATGGGTTTTTCTACCTAGGATTGGGTATTATATATATATATGAGATTTGATGTTAAGACTTAAGAGTGAGAGGAGAGAAAGAGGGAGAGGTGATATGGTGGTGGTGGCAACTGTGGCTGGAGATGGCAGTGGGCTGGAGTTGGTGATGATGAGTGGAAGAAGAAAGAGGGGAGAGAATAATTGACTTTTTAGGATATTTTTTATTATAAAATTAATTACAAATAGGGGTAGAATGGATTTTTTTGTAATCACATTTAACATTTGTTAGACCACCAACGGCTTCAAGGGAGGTGAGAGCAATAAACATATCTAATTTGACAAAATTTTAAGAAAGGTCAGTATAATTTACCTATTTTTTTTTAGGTAAAGTACAGAAACACCCCATGAGGTTTGGGATAAGGCCATGCAGATACAAGTTTGCCTATTTTTGGACAACCACACCCCCTTGTGAAATTTGTCATCTAAACAGAGCTTTAAAACATGTGAAAAGTCCACTTTACTCTTCCCTATTTTATTAATTTTAATTATAAAATATCAAAATACTTAAATGACCAAATTACCATTGCCTCTTTCTCTCAATTACCCTATGCCCCCTCTCTCTCTATACACCCGTCTACTGTGCAGTCGCCACCACCCGTCCACTGCACCGCCACCGCCGCCACGTCGATTAGTACCATCACCATTCCTCACCGACGCCGTTTAGTACCATCACCGCCACGCCAGATCTCCTCATCGTTCTGTCCAAGTCCCCCCAGTTTAAGCTCAGATGTCGCTGACTTCTATGGACGACGCAACACGGAGCTCCATTGCTCCATCCCTTTAACCATAACCGCCGCCATCATCTCCCTCCTCAACCACATCCGCGGCCACCATCAACCCCGATTTGAATCTTTTGCAGGATATATATACATATGTATATGTTT